TGCCAGGCAGTTCTACTATATCATACTGACGCTCGGATCCCAATAGGTCTAAGTTTGCCTGTCGTGAAAAGAGGTAGGAGGAGCACCAGGCTGCGTGCTGACGACTGGGTGGTGGTCCTCGGGAGCGCTGCCTTCGGCAGGCACATGTGCCGGGTGGGGCTGCTTCGGGGCAGCGGAGAGGCCGCGCACAGAGCAGACGGTGATGAGCTCTAGCCACGGCGCTGGTGCGGCCGTCGAGCGAGGAGTGTAATGAGCTGACAACTAGCACCCATACCTGTGCGACCCACATATCTCTCGGACTGGAATTCTGGGAAGGAGAACAATGTGTGTGTGTGTGTGTGTTGTCGGATGGGGGTCCTCCCGCTCGAACGGGAGCCCCGCTCGGGGTCCGACAACCCGCGCTCATAATTTTTAGCGCCTTTATCTCTTTGCTCTTCCCCATCTTTCCTTGTATAGGTTTGACTGCGTGTTGTCCGCTCATCAGAGTGTGAATTGTCAGTCAGAGGAGGAAGCGATGTCGATACCGCTACCCATGCGTGGATTGCCCTCGTCGCCACGGTTGGATTTGCTGCGGAATCCTGTTCCTAACGCACCTCGAAAGATGTCCGTGGAGTGGCGGTACCGGTACTTTTTTGTCCCCCCAGTCGGGGTGCAGCGGCGCCGACCGTCGAGGAGTCACAATGTTTCGGCACCGCGTTTGTTTGTTGCCAGCAGCTTTCAAGGAAGCTGGCTCGACGTCGAGCCCCTTGCTTATTCGTTGGGCCAGTTTGAATTGTTCTAGCGCTTAAATACGTGATGTGCTCTTCAGTTTCACTTTCCTTTTAGGTCGATCGAACCTTGCCGCACGCTCGAAGAGAGCAGTGCACGTTCGGCTTGGTGTGCTTTGACATTTGCCCACGAGGGTGGCATGCAAAGGGGCCGCCATTGTGAGGTACATTCTCTGCGGTTGGGAACGTTTGGTTAGCGTGTCGCACCGCCAGTTCTGGCCGGCCGGGCTTCGGCGCGACACACGCTGTCCTCGTCGCGGTCCCCAGGCGTCAACGTCCCGAGCCTTTCCAAGCCTCCCGCCTCACGGAGCGGAGCGACAGGCTATCCACTCGCAGGGCATAGCGTGTCGTCAGGGCTGCCGCCGCGACACGCTAATTAAGGTGAGGACAGCGACCCCCCCCCCCAAGCCCCAGCCAGGATCCCCACTCCCGACCTGTTTTTTTTTTTGTGTGTGTGTGTGTGTGTTGTGTGTGTGTGTGTGGGTTCTTGGGGGCCAGCAACTACCACGACCCCCGGCAAGGACCCCCTGTATCAGCAGGTTGGGAATGGGGGTCCTGGCTGGGGGTGGCGATGGGTTACTCTGTCCTCATGGACGAAAGCTCCAGACCGTACGCATGTCCAGATGCCCCAGATGTCTAGGTGCCTTCGAGATGGAGAGGAAAGGGTCTGGAATGGAGGTCGGCCGGGCGCGCGGCGCGTCGGGGAAGACCCCTCGCGAGACGCCCGGCCGCGCCGCGCGACGCGCCCAACGCGTCCTTCGGGCAGCTCTGTCGGCTGCTTCGGTCCCGTCGGCGGCTCCGCTGACGGCGCCCGCGTCTCACCGCAGGTGGAGCCATCGGGCTGTCAGCGAGAAGGAAAGAGGAGGAGGAAAAGGAGGAGGAAAGATATGGAAAGATGTAGCATGCAAAGTCGGATGATCGGGTGAGTGTGACACCCAGAGACACTATTTGTCTCGCCCGCTGCTGTGAGCGGCTGTCCACGAAGTCTGGGTCCCCTCAGTCCCTCTGGAGTATTTCCTTGATCGCCGTCTCGGTTTCGCTCGCCCAATGTCTGAGGATCGACTTCTCGTTGTGCAGATATGGGTGGTAAGCTTCTGTTTGCACCACTCCATTCGGACACTGAAGAGGGGTGATCAGACAGTCATTGGGCAGCACGCCAGAACTGCCAGCGAGCAGCTTCCACAGCAGCAGGGTGACAGTGAGTAATCGACTACGGGCCTGGTCCGAGCTACGTACGAGGAGGAGGAGGAGAAGGAGGAGGAGGAGGAGGAGGAGGAGGAGGAGGAGAAGGAGGAGGAGGAGGAGAAGGAGGAGGAGGAGGAGGAGGACGAGGAGGAGGAGGAGGAGAAGGAAGAGGAGGAGGAGGAGGAGGAGGAGGAGGAGGAGGAGGAGGAGGAAGAGGAGAAACGTTTTGGAACGTTTTGTCAAGCGCAGCGTGCTGAGGAGGAGGGACGGGAAAGGGAGGAGCCAGAGGCCCTGAAGCCCGCAGAGACGACCGAAGGTCGACTCCCCCTGGCCGTTCGCTCCCTTCAAACGGAGGGTGGGGAGAGGCCGCCAGAATGGCAGGATGGGTTCGGGGCGTCGCTCCTTCCCAATACGCTGTGCTGCGGCCGCGCTCGAGGAAGCTCCAGCCATCGGGCACTCCAGGATGGCGCCTGGGAGCCGAAACAACGACGCACATAGCGCACTGCAAAACCTGTCTCTGCCGCATGGCTCCCCAGGGCAAGGCCTGGGAACCGAATATCGCAGATTGGAATCTATGCTCAACAAACCAATCCCTCGCTTCAGGGCCTGGCCCAGTCGTTTTGGAGGGGGGGGGTCCGGCCGGCCCCGGCTGAACGCGCCACGGGCCTCACGACGGGCCATGAGGGCCCCAAGAGGCCCACAAGATGGTCCAACAGGGCCCCGAGTCGCCGATGGATCGGGAGCCCCCCAAGAGGCGTCCCAAGAGGGCCCCCAGAGGCATAAATCGTCCCATTCCCTTAGGGAAACGTATGATTTTAGCACATTCGCCTCTTGGGCTTTCACAACGTCCAAGACGGCCCAAGAGGCCTCCAAGATCGCCCCAAGACGGCCCAGGAAGCTCTCAAGAAGGCTCCAAGACGGAGGAGCACCGGCATCGCACGGCACAAACCACTCGGTCGCTGCGGATAAGTTGGCGATAGCGCTCGTGTGTGTTCTGGGCGGGGGGGGCTTCAGTCGTTGTCTTGAACCCCCCTGCGCAGTGACCATCCAGCGACCTCTTCTTCCTCCCACCGCAGTTCGCAGGGCGCGAAGATAAATTACCCTGGCGACATACCCAACCCATGCGCAATGCGGGGCGTGAGTAGCTTGGGAGATTTGACGAGAAGGCGGCGACGTGACATGGACGCATATACTTCTGCGAGCGGCATTCGGAAGGTTCGTAGGCCCCCAATCAAGGGAAACACGATGAATAACTAAGTGAACCCTGAGTCAATAAGAAAGACGCAAGGTCCAAAAGAAAACGGTGGGCAAGGGGCTTGAAACGTCGGCGGGGCAGCAACAACATGACATGGACCCCCAAGACATGGACCCCCAAGGACGGCGAGGCCCCGCTCAGGTCTGCGCAGTGCCTCACTCCGCTGGACCCACCAGCAGCGTTCGAAAGTGGCGAGCCCACAAGCAGCCCTCGAAAGTGGCGACAGTTTCGCAGATCGCAGCCCCCCAGGGACGGGGAGGTCCCGCTCAGGTCCGCGCGGTGCCTCACCAGCCCCCCAAGGACGGGGAGGTCCTGCTCAGGTCCGCGCGGTGCCTCACTCCGCTGGACACACCAGCAGCCTTCGGAAGTGGCGACAATTTCGCAGATCGCAGCCCCCCAGGGACGGGGAGGTCCCGCTCAGGTCCGCGCGGTGCTTCGCTCCGCTGGACCCACCAGCAGCCCTCGAAAGTGGCGACGGTTTCGCAGATCGCAGCCCCCCAGGGACGGGGAGGTCCCGCTCAGGTTTGAGCGGTGCCTCACTCCGCTGGACCCGCCAGCAGCCCTCGGAAATGGCGACAGTTTCGCAGATCGCAGCACGGGGAGGTCCCGCTCAGATCCGCGCGGTGCCTCACTCCGCTGGAACCACTAGCAGCCCTCGGAAATGGCGACAGTTTCGCAGATCGCAGCCCCCCAAGGACGGGGAGGTCCCGCTCAGGTCTGCGCGGTGCCTCGCTCCGCTGGACCCACCAGCAGCCCTCGAACATTGCGACAGTTTCGCAGATCGCAGCCCCCCCAGGGACTGAGAGATCCCGCTCAGGTTTGAGCGGTGCCTCACTCCGCTGGACCCACAAGCAGCCCTCGAAAGTCGCGACAGTTTCGCAGATCGCAGCCCCCCAGGGACGGGGAGGTTCCGCTCAGGTTTGAGCGGTGCCTCACTACGCAGGACCCACCAGCAGCCCTCGAAAGTGGCGACAGTTTCGCAGATCGCCAGTTTCGCAGATCGCAGCCCCCCAGGGACGGGGAGGTCCCGCTCAGGTCCGCGCGGTGCCTCACCCCGCTGGACCCACCAGCAGCCCTCGAAAGTAGCGACAGTTTCGCAGATCGCAGCCCCCACCCCAGGGTCGGCGAGGTCTCGCGGGAGACAGGAGGCGGGAGGCAGGAGGCGGGAGGCGGGAGACAGGAGGCGGGAGGAGAAGGACGCGACCGCAGTGTTCTATTCAAACGAATACCCAACCAAGGAGGTTTGGGACAAATCTCCATCTTTCATCCTCCACATCCTCTACCTACGGATCACGCGGTAGGTTCGACCTTGTGGTCGTTGACCTCCGTTCGCATTCTAGATTTCCTGAGGTTGCTCAGCTTCCCATGTCGATTCGACCTCATCGGCCTGTCTCCAACTCGCCTTGCACTTTTCAGGAATGTTTAATCATTCTGGCGTTCGTCCTCCATTAATTAAGACCCTTGAAGCTTCGCCACGCCATGCCCATGTGGCCTACCAGGCCTTCGCAAAGCTGATGTCCCCGGTGGCATGTTGAATTTCTCCAGCAACTTCTCGACCCTCACCAACCTCTCCAGCCTGTCTGGCATCTTTGGCCTGCCCAGTCCTTCCAGCCTCTTCAGCCTCCCTGGCTTTTGCGGCTTCCCCAGTCTTGCTTGATGGCCGCCCGGAGGAGAAGCAGGCGAAGCGGGACAAGCCCGACAAGCCGGAGAAGCAGAAAAAACACAGGCCCAACGCAAATTCCGACGCCGCCCCTGCCGCCAGTGACGCTCAGCCAGCCACTGGCCTCACGCAGGACGTCGTGGGCTCTTTTTATGAGAAGAACATGAAAGAACAAATATCCATACTTCCTCTTTCGTCGCTTTGCTTGTTGTTGTTTTTTTGCCAGCGCGGGGTCCATGGAGATATCCGCTCCTTCATGGGGACCAGTTTTGCGCGGAAGTGGCCTTCGGAGCCCAGAGATTGCCGAAATGTTCCGTCTTGGTTTTGCCTTACGCAGTTTGTTTGTGAGGTTGCAGTTTTTTATTGTGCCGGAGGGTGCGTTGCCAGATCCCAAATCCTTTGGCTTATGGTTTCTGGTCGTGGCTCGAGGTCTCTTGTCGTGGTTTCTGGCCGTGGTTCGTGGTCTCTGCCTCGTGGCCTCTGGTCGTGGCTCGTGGTCTCTGGCTCATGGTCTCTGGTCGTGAACTCTTGTCGTGATGCGTGGTCTCATGATCCCTGACTGTGTCTGATTAGTATAGCAAAAACATTATCGTATGGTGTAGCATGGGATCGCGCAGGACGTTCTGTATAGTAGTATAGTGTAACAAAAGACAGTATAGCTTGTGTATCTGGCTTGCTCGTTGAGCGCAGCATTGCGAACTTATAAATGCTAGTTGCAGTCCCGTTCTCTTCAGTGTCTAGGATATGTTGTCGCCACTGGTGTAATGTCAAGACGTTGGCGGTCTGGGTCTCCCTACTCCTCTGCAGTGGCGAGGAGGAGCCCCCCGAGGCCAAACATGGGCGACAAGCATCAAAAACCTCGATGACCGAACCTCGATCTATTCGAGAGGATGGACGTTGGAGGTACGTATGCGGGGAAGGTGCGATGGGGGGTCTTCTTTGAAGGTGGGAGCCTTCTTGGACGGCATGGGCCTTCTTGGAAAGGCCTGGGGGCTTTGAATATGCTTTCTTGGAAGCCAGGATGGCCTCTGAGAAGCCCCCTGCCTGCTCAGAAGCCTTCCGCCTTCTTAGACAGCCGCGTTCCTTGCGCCACCCCCTTGTGCGTACCATCGCCGCGGGAGGTTGGAAAGGACGAGCAAGAGAGAGAGAGAGAGAGAGAGAGAAAGAAAGAAAGAAAGAAAGAGACAACAACATAATATAGATAGAGAGAGAGAGGAGAGGACAGGAGAGGAGGAGGCGGAGGAGGAGGAGGAGGAGGAGGAGGACGACCAGTGCAAGTCCAGGACTCATCAACGATGTTGGGATGGACTCTGCTTCCAAGCTCCCCCCTCATAGGTCCCTACAAGGGTTCATTTCAACGGAGGGAAGTGCCCCGATGGGAGACAATCGTTTGAAGATCCTGAAGCGTGCCGAAACACCATTCTCGGGACGTCTACGCCACGAATCAACCTGACTGTTGCGCCTTGACGGTCCTGAATCGTGCAAGAACACCATTCCTGGGACTTCAACACCGCGAATTAACGTAACTGTTACGCCCTGACCATCCTGAACCGCTCGCAAACACCATTTTTGGTACTCCAACCTTCAAGCGTTTCAGACGAATGTGCGCGGCGCTGAGGCGAGAGCCACATGTTGAAAAGGAGCCAGCCTCAATCCGTGAAGCTCTTGCCAATGTTGAAGACGAGTGTGCACGGCGCTATGGCGAGAGCCAAAATTTGAAAAGGAACCGCCCTTGTAATTTTTGTTAAAGGGTTCGTGGCGCTGAGGCGAGAGCCACATTTCGAAAACTGCCGCATTCAACCCGTGAAACCCATGCACATGTTTACGACTAATGTTCGCGGCGCTAAGGCGAGAGCCACAGTTTGAAAACCAACCGCCCTCCATCTGTGAAATTGTTGCCAATGTTTAAGCTTCAGGATGAGAGATGGTAAGGAAGTCTTAGCCGAAACTCCCGGTCAGCCCTTCCGACTTGCTTCCGGGTGCGACAGGGAGGATTTTGTTTCGAAGGAAAATTAGTGAAGGAGGAAGGGGAGGAGGAGCAGGACGGAGGACGATGATGCTGTTGCTGCTGCTGCTGATTATGATGATGGTGATGCTGTTGCTGATGATGGTGTTATTGCTTCCGACGACGCTGATGCTGACAAGGCAACTGCTGCTTATGTTGCTGATGCTGATGATGGTGGTAATGATGAGTGATGCTGATCATGGTAATGACGACGACGATGATGATGATAATGACGATGATGCTGCTGATGATGATGGTGATGACGATGATGACACTTTCCCAGGGCTAAACTGTGCGCACACCAAGTCAAGTAGCCCAAGATGCACCATCTGTCCGGCCCCGCCGCCCCGGCCAAAAGCCAGGGGTAAGGGTGGTTTGAAACTCCGAGCGCGGGCAAGGACGCCTGACGATTTGGGGGGATACCCCAGAGGGGGAAAGAAGGGGAGGAGGAGGGGAGAGGAAGCGGAAGGCGGAGAGACGATGATGATGGTGGTGATGATGATGACGGCGATGACGAGGGTGATCGTAATGATGGTAATAATGTTGGTGATGATGATGATGATGATGATGATGATGATGATGATGATGATGATGTTGATGATGATGATGATGATGATGATGATGATGATGATGATGATGATCATCATGTCGATGATGTTGATGATGACGACGATGACGATGCCGACGACGATGACGATACTATGCTGATGATGATAATGCTGATGATGAGGAGGCTGAGGATGAGGATGAGGATGCTGATGTGATGATGTCGATGATGATGATGATGATGATGATGATGATGATGATGATGATGATGATGATGTTGATGATGAGGTTGTAATGACGATGAGGATGATGAGGGTGAGGATGAGGATGATAGTTGTCGTGATGATGGTGAGAAGGATGAGGACGAGGATGATGATGCTGCTGCTGCTGATGATCATGATGATGATGCTGATGATGATGGTGCTGATGATGATGATGGAGTGACGACGACGACGACGACGACGAGGAGGGGGAGGAGGGGGAGGAGGAGGAGGAGGAGGAGGAGGAGGAGGAGGAGGAGGAGGAGGAGGAGGAGGATGATGATGATGATGATGATGATGATGATAATGGAGGGGGAGGCAAGGGAGGATAAGCAGGAGGAGGAGGAGGAGGAGGAGGAGGAGGACAAGTGGGAGGAATGTGCAGGACTGTGCAGGAAGACGGGCCAGCAGCAGCAGGTGCACACCGCCCGCGGGAAAAGGAACTAAGACAAGGAGGGAGGGGCGGCGGCCTGGGGGGCTAAGCTCGCCGCTTTGTCCAGTACTTCGCTCAGCTGGAGCTCCCTCGCCTCGCCGTGCCCCACATCCTCCGTGGGATGCCTCGCGCGCCGCAGACGGTTCCTGCGGGTTTGGGCGTTCTTTTCGGGAGGTACGAGCCTGCAGACCTCTGCGAGACTTCTGAGAGCCTGGGTAGTGTGACAGCCACAGCTATAACAGAACTGGAACGAACCCGTCTTCCAGAGAGCGTGACTTCGGAACAGGTTACGGTTCCCCGTGGAGGAAGAGAGGAGGAGATAGGAGGAGGAGCACGGACAGGGCCCTTGGGCCTCCGACACACCGTGAGCCCAAGACACTCTTCGAGACGGAATGTGACCTGTTCCTTCTTGGCGGTTGCTTTCCATTGCTTTCCGACCACAACGCAGGCAGGTGGCGGAGGGCCCCGTGTAGTGCAGCACGTGAGGCTTGGCGGGAACGTTACGGGGCCTCTTAGATCCCGAGACAAGCTTCCCCTCTCCTCTCCTCCTCTTTGGGGGGTTGGGGGTGGTGTCTGCGAAGGATCCGACTTGTACAGTGAGATCGGCAGCAACCTGCAGCATGCCCTGAACCTCGAAATCTCTGCTGGAAAACCTCCGACATTTCAACAGGCCTCGGGGCGAGGGCAGCGCCTTGCTTGGCCGCCTCGTCAGCTTCTTTATTGCCTCGGGAGAGCATGCGAAGTCTGGGGTCCTCGGACTGAAGCCCCTCGGTCGAGTGCGCTGTGGCCTCGACTATATGTCGGTCCTGTTGGCCTGGGAACATATCGTCGAGCCCCTGCCAAATTCGGTTCCAGACGTCAGCGTGCGATCTAGCTCCGCGCCTACACCAAGGCCTGCCCCTCTTCAGTCCCTTGACCACCGTGTCATTATCAATGGCGATCGTGAGAGGCGGCCTGGCATACTGGAGCACATGTGCGAGCCCTAACAGCTCACACCTGAGAAGAGACAGAGTGGCACGGACTCCCGCTGGGCACCCACATTGCGAGAAGACCTCGAGCGAGTCCTCCTAAACGAACGAGAAGCCCCATCCAAAGCTCTTGTACCCAGGGGGGCCCACTCCAGATCCGTCGGAGAAGGCGAAGCCACTGCACAGACCTGCCTCTCCTCTGCGGGTGAGGACACTCTCCACCTGCACATCAAGAAATGGGTCCGTGATGGAAGGATTAACAAGGCCTCGGGCAAAAAGTGGGGTGCCTTCTGTAGCCGTCGCTGCTTGATGGATGATCCCAGCATGACTGTCTGCTATCTCTCGTCGATGCTGATCGAGGGCGGCACAGCAGCAAAAACAGTGTTGCTGCGAGCCTGTCTTCCGCTCGCAGGCTTGAAACTCTCTGATGTCGGTGCCCCCTGGGTGCAAAAGGCGGCAAGGCGGCGCAAATACAACTCTCGATGGCCCCTCACCATGGGCCGGCATTCAGATTGGCCCCGTGCTGGGCTGGCATTCAGATTGCGAGTTCGGCCAAGTACCTCGGCTTCTTCGTCGGCCCCGGCCGCGAGGAGAAATCTTGGGACGCCCCCTTGGCCAAGTACCTGGGCAGGGCGAGGCTCTGGGGGCGGCTGGGTTTGGGCCTCGCTCTCACCCTGCAGGCGTACCAGGTCTACATCGCGTCGGTCCTTCTCTTCGTGGGGCAGCTGGAGGAGCTCCCGTCGCGGTGGCCGCAGGTGGAGCTCCAGGCCTGCCAGGCCCTCCTTCCGGGCCCCCGCGGGTGGATGTCGCCGAACTGCTTAAAAGATCTGCGGAGCCTGCACATGCCGACGGCGCTGCTCGACGTCGCCAGCACGACGCAGGCGGCCAAGCCGAGGGTGGTGACGTTTGAGAACGCTCGTC